TTCTGAAAAACGGCATGAAGACAGGAAAGCATATCCAACAAACCCCCTCACCAATGCTAAATACACATTGGTGTATTTACTAAGCACACATAGTATATATTATACACATACAGTCCAATCTAGTGAGGGACACAGATGAAACACACAACTAAATGACAAATAAATTGGACCTTGGGGAGAGAGGGAAACAGAGACAGAGTGTATTAGTCTGTTTTCACACTAATAAGTTATACCTAAGACCGGGCAATTTACAAAAGAAAGAGGTTTAATGGACTCACAGTTCCACGTGGATGGAAAGGCCTCATAATCATGGCAGAAAGTAAAAGGCACATCTCACATGGAAGCAGACAAGAGAAGAGAGCTTGTGCAGGGAATCTTCTCTTTATAAAACCATCAGATCTCATGAGACTTATTTGCTATCATAAGAACAGCACAGGAAAGCCCTACCCCCATGATTCAACTACCTCTCATCAGGTCCCTGGAACAACATGTGGAAATTCAAGATCAGATTTGGGTGGGAACACAGGCAAACGTATCACAGAGAGACAGAGAGAGAACTCATATCATTTAACCATCATGCAACAGATGTTCCTCAAACTCAACCTCTGTTCTTTTTCAACTTGAATCAAGGAATTGCTTTTTTGTTTTATCTAGTTTTTTTGTCACTTTCACCTAAGAAGTATTGACTACTATTTTATGTTTTTATTCATTCACACTTGCTGACAGATTACACTATTAGATTCTCATTTTTTAGACTCTCTTCTAAACTCATATCTGTGAATATACTTGACTTTCTGCTTGGATTAGATGACACAGAGACAGCTGGACCTAGCATGTTTGAAGTCGAACAATTAATTGCCCTCCAAAACCTATTTCTGCTTTGCACTTCTGTATATCAGTAAGTTACTACTACCTTTCAGTTGCTCTGCAAAAAGCTGAAACACTTTGATTATCTGATTCTTCTCACTGTCCTCCAACTCCATCAGCAAGACCTGCCACTCTTTCTTCCCAAAAGTTACATGAATCTTTTTACTTCTCTTCATTTTTACTTTCTCAACCTCAGGCCAAGACAGTGCTATCTCTCACTGTATTGCAATATCCGTCCAACTGCCTCACCACTTTCAGCCTTGATTCCCTATACTCTATTATCTGCACAGCACCTAGAATAATATTTTGAAGATACAAACTAGGTCACTCTAGTCTCCTGCTTGGAACCTTGTATTTGCTTCCCATTGCATGTAGGGTAAATCTTGAATTCTTTTTTATGGTCTGAAATACTTTTGATAATTCTAATACTGTCTCTCCTCCAGCACCAAACTATGTGGTATATACCCTAGCCCTCTTCACAGGCTGCACCTCTGTTGCCCCTTCCCTTTCTTTGGCTAGATGCTGCTTCTCCCTTATATTTCAATTTAAGTTACATCTCCTCAGGAACTCAATCCTGTCCACCCTACCTGAAGCAAGTAATTCCTGACCAACATCATGGTTCTCTGTCAAAACTCTTAGGTCATGTATGTCATATCATATGTGATAATTAATGATTATTTGTCACTTCGTTTAGTTTTTTCTTTTTTCTCCTGGCTCCATCTCTAGATTGGACTGTAAGTTCCATGAATGGAAGAAACTTACTTCTTTTCTACCACTTAACAATCTGTGTCTACTTCAGTGCTGGCTACACAGACACTCAGAAATATCTACTGAATGAACAAATGAGTATACAAATGAATAAATGAATTATACAGGGCATGATATAGAAGAGTTAATACAAAGGAGAAAAATTCCATTTAGAGTGATATGGGAAGATTGCTTGGGAATAAGAGGAATATGTGTTAGTCCTTGATCAATAGCTTCAAGAATGGTGGAAAGAAAGGAAATGGCCTCAATGAAAACCTGACTCTGTGTGTGTGTGTGTGTGTGTGTGTGTGTGTGTGTGTGTATGTGTGCGCGCGCGCATGTGTATTTGTTTATTGAATATTTTTCATGTACATAGACTCTTAGTATGGATGTGTGTGGAGGATAAAACCACAGGGGATGGAAAATAAGCCTCAATAGGGAAAGTCAGGCCAAACTGTAGATTTCATTGCCTACCAGACAATGAGACTTTGGATGAAATTATAGTTTTAGTTTGGATGGAACCATAGTTAGAAAAGTAATAGAGGATGTGTAGAAAGGAAATTGCTTTGCCAAAGGAATAAGAAAGTAACAGGTATGAGGAGAGGCTGTGGTAACATTGACAACCTTAGTGACAAATAGACTATGTCAACAGAGATGGCAGAGTCGAAGCTGATTCTAACTTGTGAACCTCTGGGACAAGGACATAGATTCCATTAGCAGAGACGGGAATCTTGGGGGACTGTGTGTGCAATGAAATCATGAATATTTAAGTATATATATTAATACATTCACAGATAGCCAGCAGATACTTGGAAAGGTAATGCAGGAGCCCAGATAAAAATAGAAGATTAAAAGGTTAATCAGCAACAACTTTCAAATTTTGAGTACATACTGTAAGAGTATCAGTTATGGCTATAAAATAAGGTTTGGTTATTGCTAGAAGAAAAAACTTATCACAGGAAATTAGATGTTTATAAAATCATTGGAAAACATGGAGGAACCTTATATTGTAAGTGAACCATGAACAGTCTTCTGGCTTCAAACATCTCTCATCCAGTTGCCAGGAAGTGCTATTGCTAGCCAGAGGTCAGGAAAATGTTACTTCTACGGTTGCCACCACTGCTGATATCATAGCCACCTCTACTGACCACATAGTAGGTTGACAATAGATATGGGAGTCTAACTGCTACTTACATTCTACTGCAGTATACTTGTCTGTGCACACTGGTGTAAAAATAAATAAATAATCTCCCACTGCTTTCTGCCTTCCAAATATAGTATAAGTGGATCTCATTGGCAGACCCTATAGCATATCATGAATGGTAAGTGTGCCAGGGAAAGGGAGTTTTCAGTGGTAGGACTGCAGGTACCTAAAATGTAATTGGAAAAGATGCTGAGTGCTGGCAGAGAAGATGAAGCACAATGATCTTTGCGCAAAGGACTATGCGCACATTTTCTCACTTACTTTTCACCAAGAAATAATATTTCACATTATTGCTATGCTGACTTTATAGATAAGAATGTGAGGATATGAAAACATTAGGTAACTTGACATAGATCCAAATCTAATCAGTGTGGGAATCAAGATTTGTGTCCAGGCATTCTAACTTAAATGCTGACATTGCTTAGCCCATGCTGGAGTTTTCCCCTTAGAAATGACAGCTGTAGACCTCAAGAAAGAACGTTAACTGAGCAAAGAACACCAAGTCTAGGTTTTGGGGCAATTCCTAAATGCAAGTATCAGGGAAAGGAAGCAGAAGTGGTAGCTGAGACTAGCGAGTGTTGGAAATGTGTATCATACTCAAAGTCAAAGGAGGTGAATTATCATAAAGGAGATGGTAGTCGATGGTCAGTTGGTCTAAGAACAGAGGAACCATACTAGGCAAAAGGCAAGTAATTCTGTTAATATGAATAGAAGTATTAGTGCTGTATTTACTTATTTGAGGGCCATGGTGAAAATCATGTCATATGAATTAAGAGACAAAAGATAGCTTTTAACAGTTGAATACCACACTCCTGCTGTTCTATCCAAATGTGCTTTCCCAATCTCCTTCTCTTTGGACTTCAAGTTTATTAAAAGACTTGGGTTCCTGAGTTCCCGTTATGCATCAAAGCCATCGAGAGAACAGAGAACTCAGTGTGTGTTGTTCCATTGCAGTTATGAGATACAGTAATACCTACGTGACTATTTTGGCTGAAAATAGACTCTAGATTGACAAACTCCAGCCACATCTACCCACTTTCCTGATTCTACTCTCTGGTAAATCCAAATTATAGCCTTGAGGCAAATTTTGAGTCCTTTTATGTACTCTGATTTTGAGTGGAATGTCATTCCCTGATAACACAAGGAATCTTTACATGGATGTTTAGGAGTACTATTACTTCATTAAGGCTACTCTTCTGCTTTCATAGCAGGGAGTATTTTGCTAGAATTCACTATGCATTGTTTCACCATGGAGCTACCTCCAGCATTATTCCTGCTCAGATATAGAAAAACTTGTTATATTAACATTTCCTGATGAAGACATTACAGAAGAGGAATATCCTGCAGCAGGCTGGGGCAGGATCAGATATGTTTTTGAAAATCTCCAGGTGGCAAAAATTCATTCTTTCATTGCATGCAAGAAGGAGCCTTATTTGGTTAATTCCTCTGCAACACAATCTAATTAAAACTCTTTAGAATTTGCCTTCTATCAATTGCTATAACAAGATTAGATCTTTATAGTCTGTAAGGAAAAATTATCTTGGTGTGTTTAAATGACTCTACATATAATCTTGGCAACAAAGATTAATGACTTGCTCCATGTTAAAGCATTAACACCTGGTTCCTGAACCTTCTTAAAACGGTGGTTGATCTTTTTTTTTTTGAGATGAAGTCTGACTCTGTCACCCAGGGTGGAGTGCAGTGGCACAATATTGGCCCACTTCAGCCTCTGTTTCCCAGATTCAAGTCATTCTCCTGCCTCAGCCTCCAAGTAGCTGGGATTACAGGCACAAGCCACAATGCCCAACCAATTTTTTTTGTATTTTTAGTAGAGATGGAGTTTCACTATGTTGGCCAGGCTGGTCTGGAACTCCTAGCGTCAAGTAATCTGCTTGCCTCAGCGTCCCAAAGTGCTGAGATTACAGGTGTGAGCCACCATGCCTGGCCAAACTATGATTATTCTTGTTTCCACAGAATAGTTACCCTGAAAAATAAATTCTTCTGGTGGAAATGAGATGAACCTAGCATCAATGAAAAATTTTCACTGTAATTGCAGCCCAGCAGAAAATTAGCTGGAAATTTGAATATTGTTTATGTTACATTTTTAATATTTTAAAGTTTAAACATTTCTATAGTGATGAAAATGAAAACAATGTGTCATAGGGAGAAAAAGACAGAAACATAAAAAATAAAAATCACATTTATTTAAACAAAAATATACACACAGTGTACAATGAATATGGTTTACACAGAACAATAAAACAAAAATGATATGCCTTCAAATGCCAATATAAAATGATGTAGTCTATTTGTGCCTAGAAAAAATTCCTATTTTCTAGGAATACACATTATTGGTTCATCTAAAATATATATTTAACATAAAAAGAGAACAAATGCCAACCTTTCAGATGAGTACCACAAAAATCTGAAAGTTAAATGTGAGGTTTAATAAAATAATAAAACTATCCACATGAAAAGTGTATGTATACAAAGTATTGTTTGTTTGCAGTGAAGAGAGTGCCCACACAGTTTTATGCAGTCAAACTTTTGAAAGTTTGTTGTTTAACATAAAATATATTAAATGTTGATAGTGACATAAAAACAACACAAGAATTATCTAGATAATATAACCATCTTGCCAAAATTTAAGTCAATGTTGCCTGTCAGTGCAGTAGGTCATCACTGAAGATAAACAGCTGGATCATGACCTTTCATGATCTGGGGGTTACTTAGATTATTTAAGGAATATTGTGAATGTATTTATAGTGTGAGTGTGAAAGGGCATATATTCTTCCTAAAAAACTGCATTGACATATATATATATATATATATATATATATATATGTGGCAAGATACGATTTATCAGGCAACATCACTTCTATTAGGTCTTCTTTCCCTTGATCTTCACTCTCTCTGGGTACCACACTCAACTGTAAACTTTTTAAAAATTTAAAATTCTAAGTATGCATGCAGTCTGTAAAATTTCCAACTCAGGACAGCTAATTTCATTACTTGTTTCTGTTTATATTACCTTACTATTTTTCCTATCTCCTTGTTATTAATAACAAAACATGTTTCTTTTAATTTAGAAATGTTTGATTCTCTTACTTGCTTAGAAATAAAATTCAATGAGTGAGTGATTAATGTGCACCATGATTCAGAAAGAAAACAAATGCTAATTTTCATATATTAACTCTACACCTAATGGCTTGCAACATTTTATCTAAAACATTCATTTTACTTTCCTATTCTTAAAGACAGTTTTTGCTATAGGTGGCATCTCTGTGATTACAGATCTCTAATTTAAAACTGTCAAAGCGACAAAAGATATAATATATTGGGACTTTATAAGCTAAGAAACGTAAATATGGGGGGGAAATGCATAGCTTAGGTAGATTGCAGCTGAGTTAAATTAATGTGAATTCACAGTAAAAACTGTCAGTCAACTATACACCTCTCTCACCAAATCGTTCTTTTTAGTCGTGTATAATTTGTAAGGCCTCCAGCTACTACTACGATGCCTTGTGTTCAATATGTTTGCTTCCCTCTGTAACTGATGATCACAGTTTTTTTAGACAAGTTTCCTAAATCTGTGATAAAAGTTAATTTATTTCCTAAAAGACTACAAATGGTGTCTTGTATTGAACTAAACAAATGATATACCATCCTGCTTGGCAATCAAACACCTAAAACATCTGTGGTGATTTAGCATACTGCCAAAGTGTAATTTGTTTAATGTAACAGTTTAGGTTTCAATTGAGCTATATTTATTAGAATCTGGGCACAGTAATATGTTACTGTTTCTTTCTACTTTTAGTAAATGCCAAAATTATAAACTCCAAAATAGATGGTGAAGTACAATTTCAGTAATATCTGATTGGGCTAACATTTCCCTGAATTTAGCCTTGAGTTATTTCTTAGACTACAGTTGAATTGCTAAGAATTCTCCTGCAAAGTATTATCAAGAGAAAAATTGATTTAATAATTTAATTATGGATAAAATCTACATATCAAATATGACTCTTAATCTAATAGAATACCTTAAATTAGGTAAAAACCAAAACAAAATTATAGCCATCTGAAGATAAGGGGTTGCATTTAATATCATTTTAATAATTTTATACTGCTTCCTATAATTTATTTCTTAATAGGAAAAAAGATGATGGCATTCACTGTGTGCTGGTAAATGTTTAACAACTGCCTTTCTAAGAATTAAAATTGCTAGTTTGTAGCATTTGCCAGTTTCTATGGTGTAAATACTCCTACTGTGGACAGTTTCAAGCTACCAACATGATGTTTTTGAATCTGCGGTTAGGAGGAGACCCAAAGTAGCACATTACTGTATCCTGTTTTCACTGTAAAGATGCAGTAGACCTAAATAGACTCAAGAGTATTGATAAATAATATAAGGTAGTAAAATAATTGGGAAGTAGTATGTTTTGATTATTACCTTTGTTTTTTGTAAAATGTATTCCATTGCATTTTATAATTTCATATTTAATAATGGTTGTAACAACTAGCCTATAGAATTTCTGATAATTTAATTATCAGTGTTCATGAGTCAGAACAAGCAAGTTCCAGCCCACCAATTGGTACACTATCAACTTTTACATAGGGAGAGCTTTGATTTGCTTGGGAAGAAAGGCATTACTTTATACAAATCAGTTTCTTTCCTTTTTTACCTCTTATTTAATGTAAAATGTGATACATAGTTGAAGGATAACAAGGAAGTATCCTCCATCCAAGCGCTTGCTTTTTTAAGTCTTCAGAGATTTTCACAAGAGGGGTTAGTCTTATAAGGCCTGGAGGCTGCGTCCATGGAGCTCTTTCCTGAAGGGGCAGTTTGTCATTTAGTACAATGTATCACCTGGATCAAATGGTTGCTCGACTCACTGAATTATGAGACTGACCAAACTCTGTTCAGGGCTTGTTTTGGCAGAGTGCAGGCAAAACTCAAGGCAATATTTCTAAGAGAAAAACAATGATGTGAGATGTAAATGAATGGTTTCCTTGTCTTTAAATATGTTTTCCTTAGTGCTCAGTAAATAACTAATCCAGAATTGATATCTGCATTTAATATCAGAGGAGAACATATTAATTTTGAGCAAAAAAAGTTTGGAAATGTCATTTGCTCAGTTCATATTTTTGGCTCAATATAACCTGAAATAGGTCTGCTGGTGTATCTTTTAAGTGAAAATATAGACAGAATAGTATGACTGTGGCTGTGTTTGTTCAAGGGAGATTTAAACACTTTTATTTTTAACATTTGCTCTTTAATTTAGCTTTAATAACTTCAGAAGTAGTGAAGTGGTTGTTCAAGTATTTGAACTATCTCTCAGGAAAGGAGCAATATTGTTGTCTCTATAAAGCACATTTTCTTGATGAAATCTGCTTTTTGAAGTTTGCACCAGTACAGCCTTTCTATAAGGAAATGCAGATGACTATGCTAATGAATGAAAATTCATAAGCATTTGTTTTACAATAAACTCTATCATTTGAGACTTCTTTATTAGTATTTATTTTTAAAAATTCTTAAAATGTCTTTTAAAAACAGAAAACCCAGCGGGCATGGTGGCTCACACCTGTAATCCTAGCACTTTGGGAGGCCGATGTGGGTGGATCACCTGAGGCCAGGAGTTCAAGACCAGCCTGGCCATCATGGTCAAACCCCATCTTTAAAAATAAGAAGAAGAAAAATAAAAATAGAAAACCCTGTCGTTGGCTTTCTAGTTAATATTTTTCCAAATTTTAGTCAAATACTTTCATTTTTTAAAGATACAAATAAAAATTCTAAAAGTATTTACAGGATGATAAATTACTTAAGGTTTCTAGAACTCAGAGTGCCATTTGATATGCCGAATGAGGCTTCACAGCTATTTAAGGCGGCCTCTGTCTTCCCAGCCTCTTTATCTTAAACATGAGGAATGAAAATAACCACAAACCCTACTACTCAAAGGTTGTATTTAAACAGTAAAATAAAGAATGAGGTAAAAGAGGACATCAAGGTAATTTGTCTACAAATAGATTCAAAGTGTACAGCACATTTTCATTAAAAAGGTACCTGCCTCAAGCATAATGCCCACAGGTAATTATCTAAAATAAAACATTGATAATTCTAGTATAAAAAGCCCCAAATGGTTATCTAAAATTTGTAATAATTTGAAAAACTTGACATGGGGCTAGAAATGTTTTTGGAATCCTTATTTCAACAGGAATCTTAGGCAAGGAGCTAATATCCATCGATCACAGCTAAGAGAGGGCTTAATAAGCCTCTGTTATTTTCAAGGGAGATTTATGCTTTGGATAGCATGCTCTTCTGATGACAAAGGAACAAGAATAAATTCTTAAAATTTGGAGAAAAAAGTTTCATTCATTCAGACTTTTGTATTCTTAGCTTCAATTCCAGTGATAAATCCTAAGTTCTTTTTAACTAGCATTCTTTCTCAATTTTCATGCATATTTAGCAGAGCAATTTAGAGATAGAACAAGCCACAGACTAGGAAAGTAAGAAGGGATTGTAATTCTAATTCTGCAGTTATCTTGCTGGCTGATTGAGGGGGACTAACCTTACCCATTTTTGAATAATGGTATTATACAAGATGATATTTAAGGAAACTTCTACATTGGGATGTTAGAAAACTTAACAATGTTGTTATTTTACTGAGTAAGGGCAAGTTTGAAATTCGGGTAACAGAAAATAATTGTTTTAGTTGATCATTTGTTGTGGTTAAAGGCTTATTAACATACATGAACCTATGCTATACTGCATGCTTACACCAAGATGACTGCTAGAAAACATTCCAGAGATACTTCCACACTTCACAACATCAAGTCAGAAAGTTCAGGCTGATGGGATTTTCTTTTCTTTTCTTTCTTTTTCTTTTTTTTTTTTTTTTTTGAGATGGGAGTTTTGCTTTTGTTGCCTAGGCTGGAGTGCAATGGGGCAATCTTGGCTCACCATAACCTCCACCTCCCAGGTTCAAGTGATTCTCTTGCCTCAGCCTCCCGAGTAGCTGGGATTACAGGCATGTGTCACCATGCCCGGCTAATTTTGTATTTTTAGTAGAGGCTGGGTTTCCCCATGTTGGTCAGGCTGGTCTTGCAATCCTGACCTCAGGTGAACCGCCCACCTCAGCCTCACATTTTGGGTATCAACATATTGTTGATTTCTATTTTCCTTGCAATTTTAGATTATTGCAGTGTTTTGCCTATCATTCTATTAAATGTTCTATATTGCTACTTCCACAGCTAGATCACGCAGCCCAAGTCAGAGTTCTGAAAAGATGCCATGGTTTTGAAAGGTCTGTTGACTGCTTTACTCACTCTATGCATGTGCCTGTTCAAGGGGATGAGTCACATCCTGACTGGATGATCACTGTGGAACACACCTGCAAACTGCCTCAGTATTCCAGATGATGAGTTAACTCTACCTAATTATAAGCGGCTACATGTTTTTTTAAATCCCTTAGTATTGATTCTCAGGTTAACTGTGTTCTTGCAGGCTGTTGAGCAGTATCACCAAAAATCTCTGTTCCTTTTCCCCTCTCCTCCCTTCAGTTGGACAGACAGTGGTGCTCTCTGAAACACCTCTAGTCCTATGGAAAGGATTCATGTTTTCTCAGAAACATTTAAATACTCATGAATAAAATTTACACGTTGTGAACTAATCTCAATCAGCTAGGCTCAACACATAGAAGCTTAGAACTAGAGATGACAGGACTGCATCCTGTAAGAAAGATTTTTGAAAATGGATTTCTTTCAGAGTAATATGCTGATAATGAATTCAAGTAATTTCTAGATTTTGGCAAACATCTGTGATCATCTTCCCCACCACAAATTCATGACAATAAGAACAAAACCAAAAAAGACCAAGGTGAAGATTGTCCAACTGAAACGTATTTGTGTTCCTGTTTATTAACATGTTGGTAAACTTAGGTGTCAGCTTTTCCATAAGTCCCCTCTGGAGGTCTGTAGTACTTGGGGAAAGCCATCAGCTGTAGCATGTTGAAAGCATACTTTCTGCATTTGATATTCTTCAGTACATTCTCTATGCGGCATCCTTCTCTGGTGAAAGGGGAAAAAGTACAACTTCATGAAACACAGAATAAATAAATACGCTTTATTTGTTTAATGCAGAGTTGCGGCAACAGTCCAAGTAAAAATAACAAAGATTCAACTCTACATTTTTTTTTCCACAAGTGATGATACATCTTACAAAATTAAATCCTAGGCCAGGCCCAATACCAGTATTGCCCTCTGAAAGAGATGACTAAAGTCTCTTTACTCTTAACAGACATTTAAAGTTTGATAAACTCTTTAAATATAATTTGCCCCGCAATACAGCTCCATTTTAGTTTATTAAATATATCTGCATTTTTATAACATTCCCACAAATTAATTTCTCAGTCTCTTTAAAACACATTAAAATCTATATGTAGCCCTAAGGATGCAGGTTCTAGAAATAAGGCATTTAATTTATTAAGTCTGGCCCTATAGATTTTTAAAGAAAAGTTTTGTCTCTATTTTAATTATTTTAGCTGTGCAAGGAAGAGAGAAAATGGCTTTCCAAGCAGCCTGGGCCAAGTCTCAGCTTTATAAAGGAAGAGTGCTTGTCCACGGACAGCACAAAAGTCACAAGTGCTAGGAATGGTACATCAAGACACAAGAAAGACCTTGTTAAAAAGAATAGAAAAATTCTCTGAAAGCCAAATGAACCCAAACAAGAGATACAAACAGGTAATTTAATTACAAAACATAAATAGCCATTCTCTCCATAAAGTTACTTGACAGAAAAGAGTTAATTGCAGCAAAGAAGTCAAATAACAGGTTAAAAAACAAAAACAAACAAACACAGAAGTTTCTATCAGCAGATGGCGTCTATGATATTAGCACAGTGGAAATAAAGTCTGACACCTCCCATATCTCTCTCTAGAACTTGTTTCAGGTTTTCAGTGTTTGTGCAAATTCAGTCTTAATTTCTTTAACAAATTTAATGGGATGAGGACAGGAGGTTCAGAACTTCAAGCTTTCAGGATTCTGTTCTTTGTCTTATTCCAAAGACAGTCATTTAAAAATTCTTCTTGAGCTAGTTAACAGTGGGAAACACTTTTCCATGAACAAAAGAGCAAAATAAACCACTTAATGCATAGTACTTTTTGTTTTTTAGATTTTAGGAAAAACAAAAACACAATTTAAACATTTTTTTAAATTCCGTGAATCTGAAAATGTAAAAATATTACAGCATCATCCCCATAATTTAAAGTTCATTGTCATCTGTAGAAAAGAAAAAGGGATACAACATAAAACTTATTGGTATTTGGCTAATAGTAATGCCAGACTTAAAATAAGCCACACGACTAGCAGGTGTGAGCTGACAAGCAGCAAGGCGACAGGATAGAAGTGTCGAGAAGTTGGCTTGTTATCAGTTAGACAGCCTGTTTCAGGATCATCGGATTCACTCAGTGCTCCCTGGGTTTGTCTGCTGTTAAACAGGGGGAAGTTAGGGGAGAAAAGAAAATAGTATAGAGTTCACACAGTAAAAAAAAAAATTCAACCTTAAATATTCTGAAATACAATCCATTATCTTACACAACACAACCGATTCAGCTGAAGTCTTATGGAAAATGCATCTTGTGTTTTGTTTTCTCACTGTACTACGTGAGCAAAGGTATTGAAACAGGAGATTCCTTTTGCTCTTTGTGCAAGAAGGAAGAGAGAAACACTGACGATGTTCACATGGGTTGACTGTGTACAAGAAAGAATCAGTAAGAATACCAGCACCAAAGCAAGACTTTATGAATACAATGAAAATGTGGATTAGCTCATGAAAATAACCTTTAGAAAGATTACAGCTTTAGATGTAATCTTTATAACTACATCTTTAGAAAATGAAATGAGCAATACAGGATGTAGTGAAGCAAACCAATATGTCTGGTATATTTAAACACACCCTCGACTGGCATTGCACCTATATAATGTATTTAAAGTTATAAAAATGATTTATTGAAATGGCATGATCTTTTTAAAATGAGACATCTGACATGTCATCCTTGCCAGCCATAATATTAGTTTAATAAAATCCAACTCAGCACCCTTCTGTTCAGCTCATAAATTATATCGTCTCTTACTCATCTGCCTTAGATGGGGCCTAATCTATCTCCTATGAACATCTGATCTGAAAAGAGATCCATATTTACAGAGTGATACCTCAGAAAATAAAATATTTAGTTTCTAGACTATTTTCTGTGTAAATAAAAAAGGTAGGGGTTAATTTATAATTCTGCTTGAAAGAAACTCCAATTATGGCCAGTCTGAAATATACATATTGATATAAATTGAAAATAAAATTGTTTTCTATGTTCTAGTTCATTAGTATTCAGAGTATTAAGAATTTCAGTCACATTCAGTGGTTACGAGTGGTTTAATCTCTATTAGCTCTTCTATATTTTCAAGCAAAAAACTGGTTGTGGCTCAGTCTTATAAAAAGTGCCATGCAAAGGAAACTTCTAACGAAGCTCCTTAGCCGTGGCTGATCTCCAGCCCTTTGCACTCCCTGAACACTTCCCATACAGAATTTTTTAACCAGGCATTGACCACACCAGTGTAAGCATTTAGACAAATATCAGTCCTAATTATATTTCAAAAAATAATCTGAATTAGTTTAAAACACCAAATCAACCATGTTGTGCAATGCTCTGTTATATCCTCATTGTTTGGTAGGACAAAAGGACTATGTAAATTGTCTGGAAAACAAATGGTTTATTGAACAAAAGGGGTTTATTTTGGACTTGCATAATTCCTATTGTCAACTGTATGAGTAACTTGGTTACTGTTCAATTTTTTCCAGCACACCAGGTAAAAAATATACAGTATTTTAGGCACTGATATTTTTTAATGTAAGTATGAAAAGTTCCCTTGCCTTATATTACTGCTTCCGTTGGCTTGAAATCCCTAAATTGTGAATCCCAGAGAAATAGTTCATTCATTTTTTTCAACCCAAAGTTTTTAGGGTCTACTCTTTACCAGTGGCTGCTGTAGGCACTGGGAATACAAGGTTGGATAAATGTGATAGAGATTTCTACCTTTATAATGTTTACTTTTGAGTTGGAGGAGGGGGAGTAGAAGAAGATGTTAATCTGACAAAAGCATCATGGAGAAAAGTAAAGCAGGGAAGGAGGTGTGTGTGTGTGTGTGTGAATTTTAAATAAGTTAGAGAAGTTTCATGTGATCAGAGATTGAAGATAGAAGTGGAAGGAGTCACATGGATGTTCAAATTAATTTTTCATTGAGCTAGTGCATCACCTAGTAGCTTCCTGATAGAATGGGACTGCACATTTAGGCTGGAGGACAAAGCAGCATGAAAGAATACTGGGAGGGTGTTTTCTGCCTGGATGGGTCTCAGTGGGCAAGAAGGGAGGTGGGGAAGGAAGTGACCTGAACTAGTGGATGGCAGACCAACTGGAGGAGAGCCTCTACAGTTACAGACCCCACTTCATTACAGACTCCAAATCGAGACAAGGATGCTGAGACCCCAGAGGGCAGCAGTTTGAATTTCCCCCATAAGAACCCCCCAAGATGATCTTGGAAGGAAGGCACATAGATCTCAGAGGTGGTTTTAGATGACTAATTGAAACAGAGGAGAAAAGTATGATAACTTTAATATTGCCAATTTGTATCTCATTCTTTTAATATTAGTTTCTCATGTATTACAAAAAGTATATATTAGTAGAATAGCACATATAGAAACACAGTAGATCAGAGCACAGACTCTGGAGTCAGACCACCTGTTTCAAGCTTGTTTCTGTCACTCGCTAGTTGAGTGGCATTGAACATGTCATTCTGTATGTCATGTCTCTATTTCCTTACCTGTAAAGTGGTGATAATACCTACCTCATAGAACTGCTGTGAAGTAACTCATGTAAGTCAGTATCTAAAGTTCTTGGAACAGAGAATGCCTATAGCTAGCATTCAATAATTTATTGTTATGTCATTTGTATATCAATAAATAGGTATATCTTGGAAGTGTACCTAGAAACTTTTTAACTAATAGGCTCCCCGCTGCCTTTTATTGTTTTCACAAAAGACTCCAGATTCTGTTTAATGCACGGTAAGGAAAAATATCACCAGGCCCTTGGGCATAGCAAGGGGGGAAAAAAAGCCTAAAACATATACTTTTAGAGAGGAACTCTTATTCCCATAGAAAAGGAAAAGAAATTTGAACAATTGCTCATCTGAGGGCCATGTGGGTCTCCAAGGAGACTTTGTAGCACATGTGCTTCCTGTAATCCAGGGGTAACTATTGTTAACCTGCCTGAGTCAGCAAAGAGGAAAAAGTCAATTTCACATGAGAGGCTGGTCTATAAAATCGGTCCTGCCCATGTTGTGTGTCTTTCCCAGCCATTGCCGTTATGTACAAGTCAGGCACATTCTTCCTCCGCTGTGCCAGCCACACCCCCATGGGCCAGTGGTCATTTCCAGCAGCAGAGACCGAGGGCAAGGTGGGGTTGGAAGGAGTTGCTGTAGTGAGTGTTGTGATGGCACCTGCCAATGTGGGGAAAAAAGCAGCAAGCCAACGCCTGTTTGGGGTCAGTTCAGGAGGGTCTGTAGGTCTCCTTCAAGAATCATTAGTGCTGAAAGGAACCTTTAGAGGTCATTCTGTGCATTTGTCAACTTCCTTTGGGTCACTTCCATACATGGGTTTTTTTCCAGGTCTGATAGTTTTTCAAGAAAGAGTGTGCCTGCAGCTTCTTTTTTATCTCCTAAATTTTCCAATTTTTTTTTTTGAGATAGTTTCTCTCTCTATCACCCAGGTTGGAGTGCAGTGGCATGATCATGGCCTACTACAACCTCTATCTCCCGAACTCAAGTGATCCTCCCACCTCAGCCTCCTGAGTAGCTGGAACTATGCCCAGGTATTTTTTTTTTTCCTAAGAGATGGGGTTTCACCATGTTGCCCAGCCTTGTTTCAAACTCCTAGGCTCAAGCAATCCTCCTGCCTCAGCCTCCCAAAGTGCTGGGATTACAGGCATAAGCCACTGTGCCTGGCCTCCAGTTCATTCCTTGGT